AAGAGTGTCATTAGGTTGGTGACACCAACTAACGTAGACCACAGACCCAGGACTGAGCCGTCCCCAGCTCCCTCTGTCCCATCTCCTTCCGTAGCTGGTTGAGGAAGAGGGGGGCCAAGAAGGATTCTGGGGTTCACTTGCTGCCTCCTGGCCCACAATGAAACCTGCGAGGAGTGTTCTCTGCCCCTTCCTCTGTCCCAACTACACTCATTTACCTGGTGCTGCTTCTGGCTGTGGGTTCCCAGCTGGAGAACAGAAAACAGACAATGGAAGGTCTGGGGCACAAAGGAGCTTCCTCCCTTCTGCGGGTGTAGGGGTGGGAGTGGGGGGTCAGGATTAGGTGGGACAGCCAGACTGGAGACTCAGATCTCTTCCTCTGCAGAGTAACTTTCAACATTCGTGTGTGTGTGTGTGTGTGTGTGTTAATCCCTGATCTGGAAATAAAGACACATGAATTTTATAACAGCCAGCCAGCCACAGTCAGGGGAGAGGACCCAATGACTTTGGGCAGCTGGCTTGGGCCACACCCTCTTAGAGGCAGTGGGGTCCCAAGGAAGGGGCTGGAAAGGGGGGGATTGTGCACAACTCAAGAAGCAAGGTCTCGGGGGGGGAGTGTGAGGGTGCATTTTTCTTTTTTCTTTTTTGGGAACGGGGGAGACTATTTATTGTACAGAGAGTGGTGTCCGGATATATTGCTTTTGTCTTCATCACTTTCTGAAAATAAACACGAAACTGTCAACTGTGTCCTGCTTTAGTGCCTGGGTGGGGGACATGGGCGGGGACTCTAGCGGGAACTGCAAGTGCACCAAAGCTGTTCCCTCTGCTCTAGAACAGAACTTGAAGTTCCGAAGACCACGTACCTCCTAGAAACCAGAGGTGACTTCATTCAGGGGTTAAACTGAGTTAGAGCAATGCTACGTGTCCTGCCTTTGGTGCTCAGTTTAATGGCTGATGCCACTTCTTAAGGTGTCTTGGGATACCCTGACCTGTAGAGCAGGGTGTGAGGGCAAGACCAGAGGATGGGGGCTGGATCGGGGCGGGTGGGTCTGAGGAGGAGGATGGCACTTGATTTCTCTTTGCATTTCTAGCAGCTTTGGATCCTCCCTCTTCATCTTAGGGTTCTTCAAGGATTAAAGGAGTAAATGTAAATAGGACTACATGAAATTGCTCTTTTTGTAGGTCAAAAACAGCCAAATATTGGCAATTTCATATATTTTACCCTAGTACATGTAAAGGGTTTAGAACAGTGCCAGATAACTATCATCGTCATTATTATCATTCTCTAGCTGTTTCTCTCTCTCCTTATACACATAGTGAATTGCATTTGTAAAATGGTACATGCTTCTTTTAAAGAATTGAAGCAATGCAGAAAACTATAAAGACAACAATAAATTATCCTAAATCTTATCACCCATCAATAATTATCATTAACATTAGATGGATTGGAGAGACAGAAACATTTTTATAATATTGGAATCATACTGAAAATTATTTTTCTTAATGAAACCTATTGAATTTTCATTAACAGAAGTTAATAATAATAACCCACCAAACCATCAAAACCCCCAAGAATCTCAAGTGAATGAGGACAATTGCCAAAGTCAAATCTTCCTTCATGATAAGAGATATTTCCTGAAAGAGCACTCTAAGGTTAAAAAAGGAGCTTATGAGAAACATTGAGGTTGGAGTTACTATGTTTGCCTCACCCCAGTCCAGAATATACCCCATTCTAATGTGGGAACATCATTATAGGCTGTATAGGTGTTCTTCCAATTCTTTTTAGAGCCTGGAAAACTTCACTAATGTCTCACAGTTCACATTCCCTCTTTTACTGGTCTTTGCCCAGAGGTAATTTTCATCACCATCTAGTCAGAAGAAGGAAAAGATAATGAGACATACATATTTGGTTCCATCCTCTTTGGATTTGGAAGCTCATCTTCTTAAAATGACATGAGGAGTTCAGCCATATTGCACTCTGTGAATGTAGATTAATCCTCCCCATGCCCCACCCCTTGGCTGTCACTCTTTGGCGTTAATGATATTAAACTGAGCCTATTTCCTTTCTTGGGAACTGTTGTGAGTAATTACAACACTCTTCTTTAAAAAAAAAATTTTATTTATTTATTTAATTTATTTATTTTTGGCTGTGTTGGGTCTTTGTTGCTGCGCTCGGGCTTTCTCTAGTTGTGGCGAGCGGGGGCTACTCTTTGTTGGGATGTGCAGGCTTCTCATTGTCATGGCTTCTCTTGTGTGGAGCATGGGCTCTAGGCACTCGGGCTTCAGTAGCTGTGGCACACGGGCTCAGTAGTTGTGGCTCGCGGGCTCTAGAGTGCAGGCTCAGTAGCTGTGGCGCACAGGCTTAGTTGCTCCACGGCATGTGGGGTCTTCCTGGACCAGGGCTCAAACCCGTGTCGCCTGCATTGGCAGGCGGATTCTTAACCACTGCGCCACGAGGGAAGCCCCTTACAATACTCTTCTCCCTCACTATTTTTAAATGATTTTGGTTCACTACATTAGACATGAAGTGAAGGGAGTTGTGATTGAGTCATACTCTTCTTTTTCCAGAGGTCTGGCTGCAGATGTTTTGATCCTTTGTTATTTGACTCACAAAGGTCCTTTATTATTATTTCTTCACTATTAGATGTACCTTTTCCTGAAAAAAATATATATCTGAATAAATAGGGCTTCCCTGGTGGTGCAGTGGTTGGGAGTCCGCCTGCCGATGCAGGGGACATGGGTTCGTGACCCAGTCCGGGAAGATCCCACATGCCGCGGATCGGCTGGGCCCGTGAGCCATGGCCGCTGGGCCTGCGCGTCCAGAGCCTGTGCTCCGCGGCGGGAGAGGCCACAACAGTGAGAGGCCTGCGTACTGCAAAAAAAAAAAGAAAGAAAAAAAGAAAAAGAATAAATAAGTAATATATTTATTTATTTTACTGAATATATATGAATGCACATACACAGAGTCTTTAGTTAATGTTATGCATTTACCTTAAAATTATACGGTCTGGTATTAATATGCTAATTTGTTTTTATTTGAATTCATCTGATAAATTTTCTCCTTTTTAGTTGATAGTGTCTTAGTTTCATTTTTGTTGTAGTTATGTCTGTGTTAAGCAGCAAACTGACAAATTTTAAAACACATTTTAAGACTCTTAAGGACTTCCCTGGTGGCACAGTGGTTAAGAACCCGCCTGCCAATGCAGGGGACATGGGTTTGAGCCCTGGTCTGGGAAGATCCCACATGCCACAGAGCAACTAAGCGGTGCGCTACAACTACTGAGCCTGCATGCCACAACTACTGAAGCCCACTCGCCTAGGCGAGTTGCCTGTACTCTGCAACAAGAGAAGCCACCACAATGAGGAGCCCGTGCACTGCAACGAAGAGTAATCCCCACTCGCCGCAACTAGAGAAAGACTTTGCGCAGCAGCAAAGACCCAATGGAGCCAAAAATAAATAAATAAATTTATTTTAAAAAAAGGTTCTTAAAATATTTTCTATTTATTTATAAATACAATGATCACTTATTAACCCACCACACAACTTAAAGACTAAAACATTAATAACATTACCCCATCCCATTTCCTGCCTTTTCCTTATGGATAACTAGTATCCTGAATTTTGTATTTATCTTTTTCTTGCTTTTTAAAATATGTGTTAACACTTTATATATCTCATTATTATGTTATTTGGTTTTTGGTTGTTTTGAATTTATAATATATATATGTATATGTCTTTGTATTATCTTTCTATGCATGAACATGGAATATTTCTTCATTTATTTAGGTCATCCTTAAGGTCTCTCAGTAAAGTTTTATAATTTCTAGGTATAGATAGTGTACATCTTTTGTTACATTTAGTCTTAGGTATTAAGTTTTTTGTTTTTTTCCTTTTTTTCGCGGTACGCGGGCCTCTCACAGTCGTGGCCTCTCCCGTTGCGGAGCACAGGCTCCGGACGCGCAGGCTCAGCGGCCATGGCTCACGGGCCCAGCCGCTCCGCGGCATGTGGGATCTTCCCGGACCAGGGCACGAACCTGCATTGGCAGGCGGACCCTCAACCACTGTGCCACCAGGGAAGCCCAGGTATTAAGTTTTTTTCTCTATAAAAGGTATCTTTTAAAAATATATATTTCCTAATTGTTACTAGTATATAGAATTACAATTAATTTTGTATGCTAATCATAAGATCCAGCCACCTTGCTAAATTCTCTTATTATTTTTCAGTGGTTTGCTATAAATTCATTACTTTCTCTATGGCCAATCAGGTTATTTCAAATAACGAGAGTTTTATTTCCTCCTTTTGAATCATTATGCTTCTAATTTCCTCTTTTTTTATTTTTAAAATTTTTATTGGAATATAGTTGATTTACAATGTTGTGTTAGTTTCAGGTGTACAGCAAAGTGAATCAGTTGCACATATACATATATCCACTCTTTTTTTAGATTCTTTTCCCATATAGGCCATTACAGAGTATTGAGTAGAGTTCCCTGTGCTATGCAGTAGGTTCTTATTAGTTATCGATTTTATATATAGTAATATGTATGTGTCAATCCCAATCTCCCAATCTATCCCTCTCCTACCCTTATCCCCTGTAACCAAAAGTTTGTTTTCTACATCTGTGACTCTGCTTGTTTTGTAAATAAGTTCATTTGTACCCCTTTTTTAAGATTCCATCTAATTTCTTCTTTCTTCTTCTTATCGTATTGTACGGGCCAGAACTTCAAGTGCTAGTTTCTTGTCCTTGGAGGGATGATTTTCCCCTATTTATTCCACTTTCCCCCTTATGCTGGTTTGGTATTTCTGTAACCTATTTCTCTTATTTTAGTGGTATCTCTATACAGTTTATATGCACATTTAACCTAACAACGTTGTAATGTTGAATGATATTTTGCCCTCCATTCTGGTCAGTAAAACAATTTTA